TTCAGCACTCGGTGGTTATGTTCTGTGAGCTTGTGTGGCCTACCACCTCCCGGCTGAGCCGTTTTTGCTCCTAGAAGTTTCCACTTCACAATAACAGCACTTACAGTTGACCAGGTCAGCTCTAGCAGAGCAGAAATCTGAAGAACTGACTTGTTGGAAAGGTGGCATCCTATGATGGTGCCACCTTATAAATCACTGAGCTCTCCAGAATGGGCCATTCTACTGCCAATGTTTTTGTCTATGGAGATTGCATGGCTGTGTGCTCGATTTTATACACCTGTCAGCAACTGGTGTGGCTGAAATAGCCGAATCCACTAATTTGAAGGTGCGTCCACATCCTTTTGGCCATGTAGTATAAGACATAGGCCTAATCCTCTGGTTCAGCTCCGGTCACCATCACCCAGCTGTGGCAACTGTTTCTAGAGCAGTGGTAGTGAGATGTTGGAGTGAATGGGAGTCATATGAGCAGGCAACGTTTAAAAGCTGACAATGTACCTCAAATCTCTTCAGTTTTGGGTGATTCATGTCCGACACGATGCTGCTGAAAACATTTTGCGGACTTTGGTCCATTTCAACTGTCATTTCTGCCGCTGGTAAGTTTGTTTCACAAACATATCTTTTGAATCTAGCATTACAGTTAGTTAAATTAGAAAGTCTTTTTTTTAAGATGAAGAGATGCCAAATTTCAGTTTTTATTCTTTTATGGCTTGTCAATTTAATGCTGAAGTCTTCTTGGAGAGGGATGATGCGCACGTGGTGCTTGACAGATCCAGGCGCGCCAACAGCGGCTACTTCGAGGAGATGAAACAGGGCAACCTCGAGCGTGAGTGTGTCGAGGAAATTTGTGACTATGAAGAGGCTCGGGAAGTTTTCGAGGACGACGGCCGAACGGTGCAATTTTGTAGTAATTTCAGTTGGGAAAATATTTGCAATTACTCTGATTGAAGGACTATTTTAATTACACTTAATGAAATCTTTAGCAATACATAGGAACATGTGAGAATTCCAGAGATAACTCTTAAAACTGACAATGTATGGTTTGTTTCCATAGAAAAGTTTTTGGTTGACATATACTGGTAAGTCGGATTTTTGCATGTGGACTGTACACAAATAGTTCCAACCAGCCTACAAGATATGATAGAGTATTGCTTTCAAATGGGCTTTCAGTCATTTTCATAAAATGCTAATGATATTGTTGTTTAAAATCCAATATGGTGCTACCATGTCTGTTATCATGTCGTATATGATGAATGGTGGTCATTATTGCTGTCAACAAAAGGAGTCTGCTCATACTGAACGTTGATCATAAGGTTTATTCAGACCACAAGCTTCAGCATGAGTAACAGACTCGCGAGGTCTGGAGAACGGCTCCTCAGATTGCTATGGCCGTTCTAACTCTCCGCCGTTCTTCCCCCCTTTATATAGCCTTCCAAGAGTTGAATGGCTCCCTCTACTGTTCAATCCCCGTATCTTACAACCCACTTCCTGTCTGTCATATGTGGCGTCACGCTAAAACCTTCCTTCTTGATACCAAAAATCAACCTTCTTTCAGTTCCATTTAAACAACATTTAACACCATCATATTGTCAATACACTACATTCCCCCCTTTCGAGACAACCTAAACGTCTCGAAACCAAACAGAATAAGATTATAACAAGTAACAATTTATCTCATTGAGTATCTTTAACATTAAACCAAAACATTCTTCTCTAGAGCGTAAATTCCTTTCTATGCAATAACTGTTTATGAAGTGGGAATACATTACTATGGCATATGAAGAAATCTCTATGGAGTGTAAGAGCGAAAAACTGTCTGGCAGCCATCCATCCATATCAATCAAGACAGTAAAATTCTCTCACGGTCCCTCTGCCCCAGGCCACCACCGTCGGTACTCCAGATAACCTCATTAACCATGTAAATGCATTTGAAACTATGATGCAATTAAATACACATGTAAGCCCCTGCAAACAAAATCCTATCCATAAACATCCATTGTACGGCTGGTCAACCCATTGGACCGGACAATGAAACTCTCCCTTCCTAGCCTCTCTGTCCCTAAACATTCACCGAAATAAACAAAAACATCTAAGATCCTTACATGTAGTCAATAACATCAAACATCATTCTACCAAAATTAATACCTAAAAATATGACACAATTATGTATTACACATGTCTATATTTCATTGCAAACACTGGAATGTAGTCCACTACACTTCATCTCCCTGTAGTGTCCTCTTCCAATGGACTTGTTGATGATGGAATCAGCCACACCCTCCTTGTTTCATCTCCTCCAGTCATATTGTCCCTTCATATTGTCTTTGTTTGAGTATTCCAATCTCCACATGTTCTCCCAAATGCTTCTGGAATGACAAGAAAATAAACGACCAAACAGTATCTTTTGCAAAACAAACACTTTCAAATTAAACCTCAATTTCACCTAAGAATTTAAAAAATGATATATAAATGATGCATGAATCACATAAACCTATTCCCCCCTTTGATTCATAAATCATACCAACATCACCCCAATATTGAAAAAAATTTTTTTTTGAAAAATCATCAAAATGATATTTATCCATCAGTAGTCCATCCATCTTCCTCCAGATCCGGAACAGTCAACACCGGCATCTGAGTGTTGTCTCCAGGAATCACTCTCCAACCTATCTCAATATCATAACTTTCTCAAAGACCAGTAACAAATTACAAACATCACAGTGTTATCAAAGCTGAAACTAAAATCTGACCCATCACTGCCCCTACTGGCCTAATTGATCTTGCAACCAAATCTTCTCAGATCTCCCAAACACATCCCTTATAATGCATCTATAACCCCAGTGATCTTATCTGAACTATCTGGACTCAAAGTATAACTAATATTTATCAATATGATCTTCCCAAATGTTACACCATACCATGAATAAAGTCCCCCCTTCTCCCTGACCTTATCCTTCAATGATAGGCTTGAAGACTATGACATGTCGCCATGTCACCCTTTTAACCCTAGATTTAGCTGTGTCCAATGCTATCCCTCTTATAATGGTAAAACCTCATATGGAAGCTTCAACGTTGACATGTAACAAAATCCTTTCCATCCATAATGTAAGAATATATATTTTATCATCACAAACCCACCAAATATCTCAAATTCTCCATAGTTACATTGTCAGTCAAAAGCTAATCGTTCAACCATCAAAGTCCTGCTCTTCTTACTCCCTGGTATATTAAAAATTACATTATATTTGTCATCTCTAACCTTATGTTCATGCTCATCCAAAGTTATCATATAACATCCCAATCTAATCTTCCCATAAACATACCCTTTACCTCATATGTTTTATTAGAACAAAAACAACTTTTAGCCCTCAATGTTTCACCTGAATACTTCAGGGTTCCGTTGTTACCTGATTTTCCTTTCCCATTTAACAATTCCCATAGGGTAATTAATTTAACCAAGAACAATTAAACCTAGGCTTAAACCACTGTTCTGACAACGACATTATTTTATCTGTCAATGACTGTTGCTAATACCACAGCCATGACAAAGCATAAGACTGACCCATACCTGATAGAGGCCGCGCGACCGTCTAACACGTTTGGGCTGGAATTCTCAACAGACATGGACCCTCAAGATTCCTCACTGATCTTACAGAATGAGTTAATCTATCTCTAATTTCCACAACAGAAGAACGAGCGGTACTGATCAGATACCTCTCCCTGTCTGTCATCAAAATCAAAGATCTCATCCTGTCCTCCATGATGAATCTATATTCTCTCTACTACTATCTGTTTTCCTATTTTAACCCCATTCGTACTATCATTGACAGCACTCTCCATCCGTAACATAACCCATGAGTCTAAAATTCCCCATTTAATTTCAGAAAAGTTGTTGTCGATGTCATACTCCCTCTTTTGCTATTGCCATCGTATCACTAATCCCTTCCAAAGTTACCATTAAAGTAGTTGATTTAGCTACTGTATCAACCCTAATTACTTCTAGTGCAAAAGTTCCCATTATCCTCTGTGTCTTATCTACTGTTGGAGTGACTGTAATCTACTCTTCCTGAACTCCTTTGGTGACTGTGGAGGCTACAAACCTTAACTCTTCCATTATAAGCGTTACTTTATGAATTACATAGCCCTTTAACCCATAATTCTTAACCGGAACAAATTCTAATGCTTGCACTAGATAAGTATACATCTATTCTTCCTGACCTTTCTCTGTAACATTACGCAACATAAGTGAACAGTCACTCCTAACATCTTCCACTTCATATCGTTGTACAAACTATCCCTCCTTTGACTAGGTGCAACAGCTTCTACTCCTGGTCCTGATAACAATACTTATTCTCCATAATTATCTCTCCATATGGGAGGAACGTCCCCATCCTAAACCCTAATAAGTATTTTTCCCCCTAAAATTGGTGCTGTATTGGTTCCCTTATAATCAAATGCGATATATTTATGACTTTAATACCTATCAATGTTGAAAGAGTTAACTTGCTTCTCACTGTTGTTATAATAGACTGAAGTGTGAATGTCCTTAGTTACTCCTAGTTCTTCCCCCAATATAAAAGTTGTCTTTGCTTGTCCTTCCATCTATCACCACTAGTGTCACTTTTCCCCAATCTGTCCTTTTTCCCAAATCCCGCTTTAAACTTTTAAAAATACCAAACCACCCATGAAAATGAAAAACCTTATTCCTTATCTTCCCCAATTTCTGTGAGATATATTTTAAGATGCGGGAAATAGTGTCCAATGCTGGGGGGGAATTTAAAAAGTTTAATATGCGGGCAATAGTTTTAAATGCTTTAGTATATATTTTAATTTTGCGGTAAATAGTGCCCAATGCGTAAATAATTTAAATAGCTGTCAATAGTGTCCTGCCTGTGAGACTCACTTGTCGCTGGCACACACTCTGAAAAACAGCCCATCAGTTGTTCAGCAACTTTCTCCAGCATGTCTCCCAGCTTGCCTTTTCCCTTCCTCAGGAGCTGCTGCTCCGCCTGGACAATATCACTACAATCATCAAACCCCTCCTATAGGACATGACTTATCCATCACTGGATCAGAAGCATTCTAGAGCACAACTGTTTATGTTCACTTACATTATTGGCAAATATCCGTAGTCCAGCGTAACAGCGAACATCACTGGCAAGGCCCCTAACAGCACATATAGAGCAGTTATCCCACAGACGTGTATATGTAGAATAGAAAAAACATTAAGGCCAATTGATATTTTTTGGCATGCTTATCCTTACCAGTTCTCCTCTTTGTGAGATTGGAAGGCCCTCAAGAATGACGTAGAAAGTCAAGGAGGAACCGCAGAGAAACCATGACAGAACAGTTTGGAAATGTACTAGTCTACATTTTTGTGTGTTATAAGAAAGGGATAGTCCATTGGCTAGCAGGCCAAAATGTACATATTTGTCCGCTTTGGGGTGGCAAAATTAAATGATGATTTTCATTAAGGTCCATATCTTTGGGTTACATTTTGGTATGATGCCCACATATCGGAGGTAGCTAAATGTGGCTATCACTGCATTATATGTTATGACCCCTATGTGGTTAGTTGGGCCAACAGGATTGAGGGTATGAAATGTAATTTTGTATTATCAGGGAACAATCTCCTCAAACTAAGGCAATTTGATAAGTTATTAACTTCATGATACAACACATTAAGGGTTGAAACAATAAGAATGGTAATGACGTTTTTTGGGGGGCCCACCTTGGGGTCAAAGGTCCTACATGTATGCATTTTGGGGTATTCAAGCCAGAATGGACAGTACTGGGATGTGATCTGTTATCACAATGGTACCATAGATGATACCCCAGATTAAAAACAAAATTTTCCCCACAAGAAAAAAGGAAAACCAATTGGGGCAGTTTGTTTAGCTATATAGAGTCATCATAGATTGGTCTATAATCAGTCCCAGCAGCCTATTTTCAAAATGGCAGCCATTAATTTCAATGGGGAGGAACTGCATTGATTTTGCATGGACATAACTGAATAAATAATTGCAATAATGGCTTAAAATGTGTGTTACAATGAGGACACCTCAAAATGATGGCCCAAGTATGTCAGTTATATGTATTTAGATAAATATGACCAGAATAGTGGTAAAAATATGACAAAAAAGCTGTCGGAATTGCTGAGTGTTGTAGGCGTTTCAAATATATTACATTAAACACTTAGAAAAATGTTGATATGAATGCAATACGATTATGTAAATTGTGTTAAAATGTGATGTGAAACCTTCCCTGTATATTGAACCCTAAAGGATATCCCATACAAATGTATTACGTCCAGCAAAGAGGTACAGGCAACCCTTTTTGGCAAAATGCCTTCATAATGAGTGTGTAGCACATGGGGATGTGTGAAACATAGTCCTCACCCTGAAGTGTCCTCACAAGAGCCATCAAATAGCTAGCTTTTCAGGTGGGGCTGACTGGTAAGACGCTTTAGGAGGGCGGTCGAGTGTGCTGGGCAGAGGTCCAAAGTTCACACCAGGTGTGGGCCGAATCGGGAGGATGTGGTACTCACTAAGCAAGCAGCGTGACGTCCTTTACAAGTGCACCACCGAACTTTACATAAAGCTTGTAAAATTCTAAACAATGATGCGTAGCTATTAGTGATTTAGCATAGTGTACACATTTACCCAAATGGCTGCCAACCAGCTCCAATTGGTTTTAATTGGATTGGTCTGTCATTGACAGGTGTAATATGCCTAATCATAATAACAAATATATTATAGTTATGCTGATAACACAACCAAATTAGGCAGGGTTGCAAAATGAATAATCTTTGTAAAATATTAGCAAAATTGTTCCAAAAATGTGCAAAAAACACTTCATATAATTGGTTCTGGTTATCATTTGCATCCCTAATTTCTGTATTTTATTTTCAAACAATTAAAAATGGATTTATACAATTCCTAAAGGTCTTTCACTGGTTTGTAGTGATTATAATGATTTACAATATTATGCCATATTGTTAAATGTCAAAATCTATGTCTTGAATCCTGACATTCCAACATAACATTCTAACAAAAACTGCCTGATGATGAGGCGGGTTAAGTTTTAAAGTTTTATTTTTAAAACCCTTTTAGTTGGTGTCTATTTTACCTATTTTGGTGAAAAATGATAATTAGAAAGGGCCATCTGAAATATTTAGGGGTTAAGGGCTATGAGGGTTTTTTGAGGGCATCAGCAAACCAATTGCTTAAAGGCTGGATTTTTTCTAATCACCAATTTGGCATAATTTCTATTAAATTTTTCAACTAGCAAACTGAACTAATGGCTACAAAAGATTAGGTAACATATTTCATGAAATAACTTGTAAGGTTAGAGAGCATAATTTCAAAATCATGATGGTCAGTGACAGAAGAGATTATAATCACCGATGTTAATTTTTTGAGATAATTTGTGTTTACCTAAATCTTAATGTTAACTTGATGGAACAACTCAAACAAATGGCAGATCACACCTTTAATTTTAGCATGCTGAGTATTGCTATATAACAGACTATTACAGGTGGCAACAATAAAACCAATATGCTACCAGATTTAGATCTCTTGGACATAGATCTCTTGGGACTCCCAGTTTGACCAATTTCCCTAAAACAAATATGTAGATCTGCTATTTGTAACATTGTTGTTTCAATGATGAGCCAGTCTAGGTAAATTATTAGATCAAATGGCAAACATTAACCAAATCCCGTGGTTTTTAAGATGAGATCCACTCAATAGAATGTTCCATTTTGTTTTCATATAGTCATTTTCAATGACCATGTGAACATTCCAACTTGTCTCAACATTCCTTTATCAGCCTGCGAACATTCTATTGCTTAAACTCCCATTCAACAAGATATCTAAAGGTGTGGAAAACATAGAAAGCTACTTTTTGGGAGAGAGGCTATCATATATTAATTTGATCAGGGGCTTGTGGGGAACAATTTAATACTATCAAACCTTTGCCACCCCAAAGTGGATTTTTTTTTCCCGCTGGCTCATGGACTAGGACAGGCATTGAAGCAAGCAAGCAATTCTATAAAGTTGGTTGAATCCTTTGTAGCCTAGCTACTTTCTCCTGTTGTGCATCAGTTGGTCTATTTACACTGGAGGTACTTTTGGACCCTCCAAACAAGCGATAGGCCATAGCTACATCATTCAATGATGCATATCATGAAATCAACATACACTGTTTGTTCAGTTCTAATGAATGAGACTGAGACGTTCAGAGTTCCACTTAAAATGTGAACGATTATGATATTGCAAAGTATAGTGAAATGCATTATAACAGGTAAATATAGGGTTCAAACAGATAAACTGCATGGCCAAAAGTATTTGGACAGCTGCTCGTCGAACATCTCATTCAAAAACTATTGCCACAAAGTTGGAAGCACAGAATTGTCTAGAATGTCAATGTATGTTGTAGCGTTAAGATTTCCCTTCACTGGAACTAAGGGGCCTATTCCGAACCATGAAAAACAGCCCCATACCATTATTCCTCCTCCACCAAACTTTACAGTTGGCACCTAAACTTTACAGTTGGCACTATGCATTGGGGCAGGTAGCGTTCTCCTGGCATCTGCCAAACCCAGATTCGTCCATCGGACTGCCAGATGGTGAAGCGTGATTCATCACTCCAGAGGAACGCATTTCCACTGCTCCAGAGTTCAATGGCGGCAAGCTTTACATCACTCCAGCCGACGGTTGGCATTGTGCATGGTGATCTTAGGCTTTTGTGCGTCTGCTCGCCCATTTCATTAAGCTCCCGACTAACAGTTATTGGCTGATTGTTGCTTCCAGAGTCAGTTTGGAACTCGGTAGCGATGTGTTGCAACCGAGGACAGAAAATGTTTAAGCGCTATGCGCTTCAGCACTCGTGGTTATGTTCTGTGAGCTTGTGTGGCCTACCACCTCCCGGCTGAGCCGTTTTTGCTCCTAGAAGTTTCCACTACACAATAACAGCACTTACAGTTGACCAGGTCAGCTCTAGCAGAGCCGAAATTTGAAGAGCTGACCTGTTGGAAAGGTGGCATCCTATGATGGTGCCACCTTATAAATCACTGAGCTCTTCAGAATGGGCCATTCTACTGCCAATGTTTTTGTCTATGGAGATTGTGTCACGGTTTACTAAGCCAGAACCCAGAAGCAGACCAGGACAAGGTAAGTTGAAACAAAGGTGAGTGTTTATTTAATAGATCCACGAGTGAGGCTGAATAATCCAGGGAACAGAGCGGGTGGCATGGATGAGTTGTTGAGGGTGCAGTGGTAGGTCCAGTAATGGCTCGGCAGCCGCCGACCATCAGGCAGAGGTTGGGTGAAGGTTCCGGATGAGTGACTGCAGATGAAACAAAACGGAGGTAAGTACAAAACAAGCAAACAAGGTGCAAAACAACAAAACTAACGCTACATGCTCTAAGGCTGATCCACTGATAAACATACTGTTCATGGCTAACGATCCGGCAGGGAATGGATGTTAGGACAGAGCCTAAGAAGGGTGATGATCAGGACCAGGTGTGCAGATTGCTGATGGGATGCAGGTGCGGAAATCAAGAGAGCTCCCGCCTAGCAACGTTGCCCGGCAACCAGGCAGGGAGCGTTCCAGAACCCTCGGGAAACTGGAGATCCCGAGCAGAAAAACTAGTACACAGACAGGAACCGACTCAGACTGCAGGGATCGTTACAGTACCCCCCCCCTCCGACGAACGCCACCGGGCGGACTCCCCGGAGCGCCAGGATGGAGGCGGTAGAAGTCACGAATGAGGTCCGCATCTAGGATCTGTCGCCGCGGAATCCAACTCCTCTCTTCAGGACCATACCCCTCCCAGTTCCACGAGATACTGGAAACCCCGGCCCCGCCGTCTGGAATCCATGATGCGTCGCACCGTGTAGGCAGGACCACCTCCGATCATCCGAGGAGGAGGAGGAGGAGGCGGAGGAGGCCAACAGAGGACTGAGGAGAACAGGCTTGAGGCAGGAGACATGAAAGGTGGGATGGACTCTGAGCGTTCTCTGTAGTTTGAGTCGAACTGCAACCG